CATACATACAATAATTCAGACAGTTATCTTATCCCATATACTCACCTGAATGTCTCTGGTTCCTGTAAACATTTCCTTCAGTCCATTGAACACCAGACGCACCAAATAATGGGATGCTTCCCAAACATGTTCCTGTAAATACAAAAAAAAGAGAAAAAAATCCTTTTTAGTTACATGTTCAAATAAACTAAAAAAGTGTTTTTCCTTTTTTTTTCTTTGGACGATTTCTTGGAATTTTTACTAAATAAACCACAGGACTGAGCATCCAGGCTAACAAAATTCACTGTTCAAACAATCTGAGACATAAGGCAGAGTCATTTAGAGCAATTTTCTGGTTTTGGGAAGTTTTTTAATTAGAAAAATCCTGCTGATGCTACAGTTCATGAGGTTAACTTCATGTTTTGTAAATAATTAGCAATGGGGTAGAAATTAAAGAGTACAGTGCTCGCAAAAAAACAAATACTACCATCAAATGAGGCATCTTCTGAAGAAGCAGCAAAAAAATAGAGTATAAGAATTTAAATCTTAAAATCTTGATGGCACATTGACAATCTTTTTGCTCTGAAGTATCTGGTGGGCTAAAAAAATGGAACTTCACCAGGCATCACCTCAAGAAACCACTTCCCCCKATGTTGGTACCACATCACATGTCAATAAGTAGATATAACACTTTCAAATAGTGTTTCTTACTTAGATAAAATTTTAGGATTGYGGCAAAATATGACACTTTTGCCATWATGATACAAAATGGCTCAAGTAGTTCATTAAAKTAAAAAATAAAAACAAATCGCTGTCAGAGGAAAACAAAAGATGAAATGGATGAAKAGAAGACCAAACGTGAGTTAATGTCACATTGGTTTTATATGACGAAGAAATATGAATGAAACAATTAAAAACAAACACAAAGTACAAGCTTAAAGATTTCAAATGAATTGTTTTATTTTTGAATTAGTAACTAAGAGGTGAATCCGTGTATGATTTGTTCTTTGGTTTTCCGTTTAAAAAGAAAATGCAAAAAGAAAACAACCGTGTTGCTGTTMTGATTTTCTGTTTTAAAACCCTTAAAAATGTAAAAATTTAAACTCAAACTAACTAAAAAGTCAGTGTTTGATTTGTGTTTCAGCTATCCATATCCTAAATAAAATATAGTTTTATTTTGAAGCGAAACAGGAAATAACGGGAGTCGCCAAAGAAGAAGAGTTTATAGTGGCTGGAAGACTGAAAAACAGAAACCATTCCTAAAGATCTTGGTAATCAAACACGTTTCTGCATAACTTTGAATATTAAAGCAATTTGTTCATGGTAAGATAGTCAGTGTATCTTTTGGTCATTGGGCCTCATGCAAGAACATGTTCGTATTTTTATCCTAAATTTCTCTTACTTTTGTTCGTACAAAGGGTTCGTACGAACATGNTGTAGCTGTTTCTTTCCTCAGTGATTTTTATATAAAACTCTTCACTGAAATTCACATTGAAAAAAGAACACAAGGTGACAGCTGCTACACAAATGAAAAAATAAATAAATAAACAAAAAACATTAAGCCTAGCTTCAGGGGGTCATCAAGCTTGTCTCGTTTGTGGCTGCACTTGATTGCTTGAAGGTGGCTGTGTGTTGAATGACAGAGTCYTACAATCATGAACAAAAGCTTTTCGAACAGAAGCGTAGTGTGATAACCCCCCCGTTACTTTCTGCCTCTGTTGCCCTCTCATCCATCATGGCTCTAGGTGGACTAATGATGAGCCAATCTGCCTCTCCATCTCTTAACATCCACTCTCCTGATGGACCTGTTTGAGAGGAGCTAGAGGAGAAGCTGGGGCTTAAAATGTGGTGTGGGGTGAAAAGAAGAGGTTCCTCCCTTCGATATAAGTTATTAACTGTCATGCTGTAAATGAGGTCACTACTGAACACCATCATACTGTTCATTATAATGTAAGATCTGTGTAGAGACCTCATAGAAACCCTGCGGCTGTGATGGATGAYACCTTGGACTGTCCCTCTGTAGGAAATAAGCTAAATCATGATTGAGCTGCAGAGCAGATGGTCATAGGTAACTGTATAAAACCCAACAGGGAAATTCTTCCTCAACAGATGATGCTTAACAACACACACAGTATATATTGCACTTTCATTCCACATTTTCCAGATCACGAGCTTTTTCCTTTTCCACACAGCAGCTGCAGTCTCACACACACCCCTACACAAACACACAGTCCTGTCTCTCACTATACTCCAGCTGACCTTTTCAAGAACTTTCCATCTAACTTTATTTTTCTTGCTGAGTGGTGCCTTGAAAACTGCATCTATTAGTCCAGGCTTCAAAATACCACAAGATTCTTTCAATTTAACAAAAAGCTATGCTGCCTCACTGAATGGCTCTTATCTATTTATCTGTAGAAATTTGAAAGAAAAGGCCACTTTAACTAAGGAAAGTAGACCAAACAATGAGCGTGTAATCTGTTTCTTATTCTTAACGGTTACCCTGTTGAAGCCTGTATGCTAAGTGCTATTTTTGGCTATGGAGGGAAACGAAGAGTCACGAAACGAAGTGAGCAGAAAACAACAGAAATAGTCAAAAGTGTGGGAACATTTTGACAAGATAAGTCAATCTGACCAATCAAAGTTTTGCCAAACACTGCCCACCCAAGACCCTCCACATATATTCTGAACTCCATCAATCACAGTTAGGACAGGGMTTTTTGATGTGGGTTAGTTACCCACATCAAAAAACTCCGCCAATCATGGTTAAGACAAACTCCGCCCACATGGAAGAAGAACTCCGCCAATCATGCTTAGGACAAACTCCGCCCACATCAAAGAACTCCGCCAATCACGATTAGGACAAACTCTGCCCACATTAAAAAAAAACTCCGCCAACCACGGTTAGGACAAACTCCGCCCACATGGAAGAAGAACTCCGCCAATCATGGTTAGGACAAACTCCACCCACATCAAAGAACTCCGCCAATCATGGTTAGGACAAACCCCGCCCACGTCGAAAAACTCCGCCAATCACAGTTAGGACAAACTCCGCCCACATAAAAAACTCTGCCAATCATGGTTAAGACAAACTCCGCTCACATGGGAGAAGAACTCTTTCAATCATGGTTAGGACAAACTCTGCCCACATCAAAGAACTCCGTCAATCACGATTAGGACAAACTCTGCCCACACACCAAGAAACACCTCCAACATACTACAGAGAGTCCTACTTGAACCGTGCTGTTGCTGTATTGTTGTTTATGTTTGCTTTGRATGTGTTGTGTGCTTCAGTGGGAGGCCTTAGTTCTCTGCTATACTTTCTCTTAGAGTATAAAACGTCCATGCAAAAAAAAAGAACATCTCACAACCACATCAGCGAAAACAGATGTCTTATGTCCTGTTAAGTATGTAGCAACTTTAAAACATGACAACTATCAGACACAAGACTACGAGATGATAAGTGACCATCTGCTACTGTAGGGCTGCCACTTATGAAAGAAGTGGAGGCTTTTACAACTCAGTGTCAGAGGGCCCACTGTCTTACAATCCATCCAAGGTTTGATAAAAGAACCTTTTAAACTTTTATACTCTGAGGGCTTGTAACACATCACACTCAATTATTTATCAACAGCCCACTATTTTTGTATCGCTAAGGGCTACACGCAACCACTGCCCTTCTGTGTTTTACTGTATATAATGAAAATGATCCTAAATCCAAATGAAAAATATAGATTGTCAGAAACAGCCAAAGGAACCTGTTTTTTTTTTTCACACAGAGGACAAAAAATCACAAGCATTTAGTCACACTATAAGCCAAAAAACTCAAGTCAAATCCAACCTATCCATCTGCTGACTCCCTCAAGTAACAATCCACTGAGAGTAAGCTTGTACTGGAGCTCTATGAGGGAGCTGATACAACAATAAAAAAAATCACAATAAACAGCAAATATAAGTCAGAGTGACCTCTGATTGGATTAGTGTRGCCCCATGTTGTTAGGTAACCTCCTGAAGCATGATCATGTTTTCTTCAGCTATTTATTTTTACCCAAATTTTTGTCAGTCGTGGAGAAATGTTGGATTACACAGGTCAGTTTGTGTTTTCTATGGACACTATTCTCCTACAGTAACAGATTTCACTTCATTTTTAGTATTTATTTTTGCACTTTTCATCACTCTTCGACTTTCAACTCTCTCCAGAGTTTAATTACAAACAATCCCTCAGAAACCCACTGGCCTTGGATTTTAGATGCTGAAAAGAGACAGAGATTAAATTTAATCCGGCTATACTTGAATAAAAAAAGGTGACCTTTCCGCAAGTTAGTTTCATTTTTGTTGCTCAGTGATGCAAATGGATTAGAGGATTAATGTAGAGGATCAAGAAAGTTATCTGTAGGCATAAGCTAAAGCTTCATTTAGGTTATCTAATTATTTGTTCCTTCATTTCCTTTAGACACAGAAAATAACTCAGCTAATCATCTTCTTTGTCCCTGTTGGACATTAGAAGAAGCAGGTCAAATTAGGGAAACATGTCCTACAACATCAGCACAGAGAGAGAGTCACTCTCAGGGGACATACCATCTGTCACTCTCACTCTCTAACACCTGCTTATGAAATGCCACTTCCTCTTCCAGCCAATCTTCTGCTTGATGTTATACTAACTGTGCAGGTAGTAAGGATGGAGGAGACCTTGCACTGTCCCATGACACTGTGTTATCTGTAAAGTTGCTGGCACACATTCGTCATGCTATCTCTAAGGTGTTGTTGTCAGGATCTCCGTAGTGACAGACAACACGTTTTAGTTTAGTTTTATTTATGGTACACCATTAGTCTCTGCCTCAGCACATACTATTCTTCCTGGGTGTGCTCTTCCTTGTAACACATTACATTCAATTATTTATCAACAGCACACTATTTTTGCACATTTGATGTTGTTTAGCTGCATTGAAGCTGGACCACTCACAGTAATCACAATACATCATKAATGGTGCGCTTCAGCAACAAAACCATTGAGACATTAAAAGCTGAAATGGAACWGTCTACAAATGAACCAGCACATTAAGGCACGTGGGAGCTTGACAGTACAAAATAATATTGAAAAMGAATTCTTTCATTTAAAAAAGTGACTTCCAAAATAGACCATCATGGGATTTTAGTTAAAAGTCTTCAGATCTCTTTTTAAGTTAAGGTGAATCAATCTATTTACAGTACATTCAAATCTAGCCTGTTATGAATTCACATTCAACATGTCGTGGAAATATTCCACTAAGGCAGAAACACGTGAATAAGAAGAAAAATTATTCCAGCACACAACATATTAAAACTGAAAATCATTAAAAGCTGCAATATTTGCGAGAGGAAAAGCAAGCTAGTTCTCAACCAGCTGAGGAAAAGAAGCACACTTTAATACCAACATTTCTACACTACTGAAAGCAAATACACATTAGAAAAAATGTCTATTCTGAGAACTCCTAATCAGTCAGCAGGGTTCTTAAACGAAAAGCTACTTCTGGACAATCSGTGTTCTCCTACAAGGCAACAAGCAGTTGGAGCAAGCTCCCCACAGATTTGAAGACCAGCACAAATCATGGAACTTTCTTGAGTGAAGCAAAAAATGTATAAAAAAAAAACCCTAAACTGGTCAACAGTGACTTTTAATRTTTTAACAAATTGAAATATTTTGTATATAATTGGGGTCTGTGAACCTTTCTGTGTGTTGCTGTTGTCTATGTTGATGTTTTTATATAAGCAGGTGATTATGATGGTTTATACAGTATGTGCTCACTGTGGAGGCCAGGTCTGTTGCATCATGTGAGGACTCTGCAGTGAAAAGACAACAGCAGCCTGTCTGAGGTGAAACTTACCACTTGGTTGCGTTTGCGATGATAAGGCTGAATGACGGGTAAACCCAACGGTGTCACCCACTCCACTGAGTGGCCACATTTGGAGATGAGCCTAGCACTCTCTGTCAGCCAATCCTGCAGCAAAGGGATGCCAGGCAGAGGTAAAGGACAGTGATTAGAAAATCCCACCAAACATGCAAATACCCTTGCTGTGAAACAGGTGAGAGGTAAAAAATGCTGTTGCATCAATTGTTTGGCACAGACTGCCAGGAATGGAAGTTTTTTTTGCTTTCTCATACACACACAGAAAATACATGACCTAGAAATTGGAGGTAGCAGTAGGACCATCAGTTCATCACATTATTGAACAACGGCTAACTGCAGCTCCGCCTCTGTCACTACCTCGCTTGGCGGAACACAGATATATCAGGGGCGGGCTGACTCCAACCCCCCTTGTCACTTTGGCCCATTCAGAAGTCACACAGAAGTGGCCAGAAGGCGTCTAAGTCCTGGCCAGGCTGTTTTGAAAAACAGTCGATAAAATCAGATTTTTCATTACATAAATGTGAAGCTTTAGAAAAGTCCTTTCAATGAGATTTAAATGATCAAACATGTAAAAATAAGGCCATATTACTAGATTTAAGAAGTTAACTGTTGTTTTATTGTGTTTTTACATATAAATAGCTCCCATGTTATGCTGTGAGAATGTCTGTCACCACAGAAAAGTGAAGAGAAATAAAACAATCTTCATGTGAGGGCTGCAGAGAGTGTTGCAATCTTTAAGAGCAGGCTTAAGACACATCTTTTTAAATGTATTTGTTGAAKTGTATTTTTTTGATAATTACATTTTTTTAATGATTGTTTTTATTTTATTGTTGTTGCTGTTTTTTATGGGTTTGTTTATTGTGCATAATTTTGTACAGCACCTTGAGCTGCTTTTAGTATGAAGGGTGCTTTATAAATGNATGCAACATTCTGTATTTAACAGACTTAACTCTCTAGTGTCGCTGTAACCTCCATGAGATAACCAAGTTTCATTTCTCTTTAGTGTAGAGGCATGAATAATAGAGAGAAATACGCACTGAGCTTTTCTAGCTTCATGCAGCTCCCTGTTCTCAGCCTGAGAAGTGAGTGAACTTCCTCACTCTCCACCACCTCCACCATCACTGTACCTTGGGAAACTCATCATTCTCCTTCAGCCTTTTCTCGATCTGCAGGCGTCCCCCATAGCGAGTGACTCCGTACACCACAGTCATCACCGTCTGCTTCACCACCTTCCTGTTGATGAAGCCGTTCAGCACCTGTGCAATCTTCACATTTTTCGCTGCATCCTGAGCTCGAAACTCCTCCACCTGAAACACACAGACATGTCTGAAAGTGAAATATTATAAAATATATATATAAAACTCACAAAATGTAATTTTTCTACAGTATTTTTGAATCTTATCTACTAAACAGTATATGCAAAAACTGTATTGAGGAATAATTTTATAATCAAGTCATCGGTCCATTATAGAGCATAGGTCTTTAAAAGCTTCAGTATGGTCGCTCTGCAGATCACACGTGGCTGTTTGGCATTCGTTTTCACAAACAAATTCCATAGCCCCTGAGCCCCACCCTGCTGAGCCCCTGGGAAACCCCTCCCACTGCAGTATATGTCACTGCATGGAGTTTCTTCCCGTTAGAGTCTACAATGCAGAAAGAAAAATCCAAGACCTGTCACCCGGCTTTATTTGTGCACAAATCCATCCATTTTATCAGACAGATTCCTCCGTGACAACATCTGTTTTATCCATCCATGAGTTTTTGACCATTTGACTGCCTTTATAAATGTCTGCTTCTGGGTAGTCTACAACAGTCGGCTTCTGGAAGCAAGTAGATTTTTTAAGCGAGTGGTTGAAACAAAATGCAGCGTCTGAGTGCTTTCAGCAAAAACACTTCCACAAACTTCTGATCAATCACACAATAAGTTCTCAGGTGGAGGGGGGTAAAACATTCGGCCAGCAGGTTGGGACAAGAAGGTGCCGAAATGTCGACAATGCCAACAGACATAGGCAATTTTCGCCATGAAACTGCGACAATCCCATCCGATTTCGGCAGGTCGGCTGTAGCATGCTGCCTGCTACACTATGGGATAAGGGCCCCTAGTGGGGTCGTGAAGATACTGCAGGTGGGTCATAAAATTTGGAGCAGCATTATATATTGTTTTTTTTTTTTTTTTTTACCATGAATCCAAAATCTAGCAAACTGATAAATGGAGGCATAAAATAATGTATTTCAGTCAGAAATGCATGGATACAGAGAGCACACCAGCTGAACTCTGCTTCACTCACAGCCTGATCCTCCATAAGTTTTGCACATAAAGCCCAAACCTCCACTCCCGTTTACTCTGTCAAGTTCACAGGAATTAGCTGAGAGCCTATTAGTGGTGCAGTGTGTATATATATATA